ATATTTCATAATTGAAGATAGTAAAAAAAAACTAGTCAAATCGTTGCAATAATTAAATTGAATTAACATTTCTGTCAATACTTTTATAGATTAAAATCATTGACGTATTAAAAAAACAAATCTATCAATCGCCTAACAAAAGTACATCAAAAAACGTCCGAGCCGCGTTTCCAATTAACACGTTTTGTCGCGGCAGTAAGGTTCAATATCAAATGTATATGAATGAGAGTTTTCAAACACGACAGTTTGAAGATTACGCACAATAGACGAATGTGCGTACTTTTGCTTCCGACACTTTTCGAGAGCGATTGTGAGCTTACTTGCTTTTACACGCCAATGATTGAAATACACAACAAATTCAATAAGTCTACAGAACTAAGAAAAATACAGACGCAAACTTGTTACTTACGTAAAATAGAACAACTATCCGGTCCAACGGTACAAAACTTAAAACCAAACAACAATTCGCATCACAATATAACCACACTATGCCAATCAATATGTCAAACAAATAGACGATCACGAATCACGAACCAAACAATTACATTGACAATAATCAGAGCATCTAAATACCATATACATTCATAATATGACAATTTACCTACAACTATTCCAAAGGTGTGAGTTCTCAGTGATAGGCATTTGGTGTGTGACGTGTCAAACATATTTTAGTGATGTGCAATTTGAATGCAAACGTAGTATATATACCGGAAAATGCTTTTAATCCAATTAAAACAAATTTTCAACTCTAATAAATAATACAACTGATGGCTATTTTTATTTCGTAAAAAAGACATGCTTTTGAAACCGAATTCTTTAAAAAAATATTAATTGAAACATAGTAAAAGGGTGGTGGGTCATGGCCCAATCTCCCTATTCCATCCATAGGGAAGGCCTGTGCCCCAGCAGTGGGGGCATTAATAGGCTGATGACGATGATGATAGTGAAAGGATTAGCTTATGGATTATATGCCATCACTGAAGACTCACACAGTGTATGTATATACTTATAATGTGTCCACAGGGTTACATTAGACCTGCTCTTGTATTATAATCATAAAATCATCATTTACAATTATTCAACAAACGGCTTTAGTAATGTACGGGATTCAGGACATACCAATTTTAAGTTACACAAAACCGTCAATCCATTTTCGTTTCTTCATATACACGAATATCTTCCGAGCCGAGCTTGGAACAAAAACAAATTAAAATAATGTCAGTTTAAATCTAAAGAAAAGTTTACTAGAAAAAAATGACAATTATTAACTCATTAATGTCAGTTATTAACTTTAATGAGCGATTACTAAGCATATTCACGGCAAAGGCAGACTCAGAAAGTATTTTAACAGTTCACTTACATTAATTTTGAATAATAGCAAAATAATGTTCAAGAACCCTGTACATTATCTTAATATAACAATGAGAATCATAATACACAAGTCATATAATCGGTGTATAATCTATTATACAATTAGGCACTATATAGTCTATGGTCAAATTATAATAGTAAAATGCAATAATCATATATTTCCGTTTCTAAATACTTCAATTTATCAAAATAAAATAAGGCATCCAATCCGTACATCATAAAAAGGCACTGCATCAATAAGAACTTATAAAAAAATGTACAATAAAAGTATATTTTGTATTGTATTTGTTAAAGAAACAAAAGTTATAATATTATAAATATTCACAATATATTTTTCTACTATGGCAACATTCTTTGGATGAACCTGTCGCGTTTCCTTTGCCCCTACCACACATAGTTATACCATAGAAAAACAATTTAATCCGTAAAAATATAAATAAATTATCTGTAATAGAAATTTATATAATCTGTTTATAATTTTCAGTTTTTTTATTAAACAGATTCAACCAAAGAATTACGATGTTAAATGGACGGTACACTTATTATAAACAGGCACGTTATACAGGCTATTTCACTTTTAAGACACATATAATTTAAGCTGAAAGGTCTTACTGGAGACCTATACTGTGCTATATACCTGAGCGTCAGCAATTTGTATGTGTACAAATCAGATAAACTATTACTTGACTGAGAAGTTTCAGCGTGTAATATATTTGTACAAAAATAGTATGAAGATAAAACTTCAAGACAGCAATATAAATTTGTCCTCGATCATGTTAAACATTCTTTAAAGAGAGACATACCTACTTACTGTAGCGTTTTATTCCATTATGGCGATAATAGTTTGAATCCGAACGCCAATATCGGAAAATAGCGATATAGGCTATCAAGATTTAGTGAAAGGAATTGATACCATAAGTATTAGGGCGCTTGATAAAGAGGCGTTTTTTACACGGGCCGGTGCCGATTAAGCTTGGCTGTACGTTTGTACCGAACTCAGACCGACGCTAGCACCGGTTTCGTTAACGAACTTTTGTAGTTCTTTTTCTAAAGATTGGTCGGAAAAATGCCTCCACTCCACCTGCATGTTGATACAATCTCACTAATTCATTATCGATCTCATTCATATTCATATATCTTTGACAATTGTCAAATATCTTTTACCGACTGCTTCAAAAAGCATTGCGCCATTTTGTCGTGTAATGGCGTAACGCATATCAAACTACAGTCTAAATTGACAGCTGTCGAATTCGGAAGTGAGATTTTTTTTACGAAAATAATAATATACATTTAGGCCCGTATTACAGAATGACAACTAAGTGTTGATCTTTACTTGAGTACAGTTAGAAAGGGATGTCGCTATGTGCTATATATAGCGACATCCCTTTCTAACTATGCTCAAGACTAGATCAATCACTGAGAATCTTTCTGTAATACGGGCCTTAGTGTTCTATACCTAACTTACGACCAGATGTAGACACGGCTTAAAACCGTGCCTGTATCCGGCCGCAAACCGTCTCGTTAACAAGCACCCTTAGACACGCAACTTTTTTAACATTAGAAAAAGTAAAGTGCTAGAATAGAAGTATGCAGATTAAGAATAAACAGGGATGCTACGTTTTATGGTAGACTTTAAAGAGTTTGAAGTAACGTTGAAAATCGGGTGCACTCTTTAAGCTCAGTTTCTTTGGCACCACGTTCGTTTTCAACGGTGTGTGAAAGAGATACAGTGTTTCGAAACCGACAACATTATATTATACATAATACCTGTATACCACACTATAAATATCATAAATCTATGAATGTAGTGCACAATGAGAGCGTTTAGGAAAAATTTTCGCCACCAGTTGGCTCCACTGACATGAGATCTTTTGTATGAAGTTTTTGGCGCGAATTAACCGTACGAGCATTCAATCGATCCATAGACTATCACGTCCATAGAGGTATAAGAATAGAATGGGGAAGGCGGCTCTAAAAGTGTCCGTCTAGTAGAAAGAGAAAGAAGACGAGAGACGGCTAGCCTTTCTCTCTCTAATCGCCAATGCGCATTGGTTGAAAAACCTAAGGATGAATACCGACCAATCACATGACTGCGCAGCAATACCGACCAATCACACGACTGGGCAGCGTCACATGAGAGAGAGATAGCTAGCCATCTCTCATCTTCTTTCTACTAGACGGATACTTCCACTTGTAGTAGAGTACATATGGGAGATATGTACTCTACTACAAGTGGAAGTGTCCGTCCGTGTGTCCTTCTCTCTTCTTAAACCTCTATGATGACGTCATACGTGATTTGACGGAAGAGTAGACCTTTCGCCACAGTGCTGACACCTGGCGCCGGTCATTCCGAAAAACGCTCATTGGTCGCAAATAAAATTGCACTCTCAAGGCAACGGGGCACGACGCATCTTTCACTCGTATGAGGAACTTAATCATTCTTAATCAATAGTTTTGAGATCAATTTCATCTTTATTTTGTTCTGCATAGCATGCCCCCCATTTGGTTTACGCGAGTCACAATACTTTTGAAAGCTGCGAGAATTCTAAGCCGAGTGCTTTTCTATTCTATAGCAATTGATAAGTTACTACATGAATACATCAATATTAACTTAATGTAAATGTTGACCTTTTAAGCATGGTTTTATTGCTTGTGCCAGATAATTAGTCATAGACATATTTATATAACTATCTTTACATTTTACAAAACAAAATTCCCTGCCATGTTTTCTTGGATATCCGCGATTATCTCGAAAATTACTAAACGAATTTCAATGCGGTTTGCACCAACAGTTAGTAAATTTTCCATGGAAAATTATTATTAACCCTTTAAACAAAAGCTTGTATTTGAATACTAGAAATATAACGCATATTGAATATAAAGTAAAGATGAATTACGGGGGCATTTCTATTAATAAAAATGGATTTTAAATGTTTGTCACAAAAACATTAAGTTCATATTTTTGTAATTATGTATAAGATCCTATGGTGTTAAGCAGAAATGGAATTCAAATGCTGAAATAGCTGATGCGGCAGAAATATGCCCACAAGAAGTGGTTTCGACTTCGTCGGTATTTCGTTAGTAATTTTGTGGGAAATTTACCACAAGTAATATTCCCACGCGAGAAGTAAAAACGTAATCTTATCCATAAACACTTTTTAATGTATTATTAAAAAGATTTTGCACATTCGGCGCTTGTAGCAAGTTCCCTTTTAATGCGCTTAAAGTTTTCTAAAGGTGGTTCTTTAAAACTCAATATTTTCCATTTTACACTTAATTTCTTTATCATTTGGAATACAATAGTTACCTTATTATTTCGATTCCACAACTAAGTCTTTTTTTAAATTATAGTTATTTTATATAAGATTTTTTTCTAGTATGTCCATGATGGCACGACAATATTGAAACTTTACCAAATAACATAGTTACATTAAAATTAGTTTGTTTAAAAAAATGTATTGATACATTACCACCAAATATGGAATACAAATTAAAATAAAATTTAACATTATAATGGTGTCGATTCTAGCATGATTCTCTAAACCTAAACTTAAATTTGACAGCAGTATATCCTTGTCATTCTCTATACAGAATGAAAAGGAGAGACTGATGTTAAATTTAGTTTTAAGTTTAGAGAATCACGCCAGAATTGGTACCATTGCGGGTATTAATAAAAAAGGTAGGTATCATTGAAATTACAACAGTAGTGGAAATAATCAACAAAAAAATAATACACATCTTTTCAAGTTTAAGAAATCCTAAAAGTAAATAAAATTACCATTACCACGATTTAAGCAAAATTAATTAAAAATTATATCATTTTAATGTAACTGGATCTCCTGTTAATATAAATATCTATTTATTCACGATTTATTCCGAGAGATACATGCCTGTCTTGCAGATAATGAAACATAAAATAACAATGAACTTTTGTGAGTGAATTGGGCAATGTTCAGAAATTCACATAACAATGTTATTTGGTATGCAAAAATGCTTAAAAATATCTTTATAATAATATAGAACACATAACCACTTAAAATTAATTACTAAGACTTTGTGGCTCCTCAATATTGATGTATTCCCGAATACTTTACTGCTGTATCAGTAAATATATTTAAGTTATCTTGTAATGCACCATAGAGATCTTGAAAGAAAAAAAAATGACTTTATACATAATCAATACTACGTCAATATCAAAAGACAATTTTGCCGATTTTTGTTAATCACGATGGCGGGAAAGGTGGGTAAGAAACCACAAAATCTAACTATATTTAATATAACAATCGTTACAATAATACAAATTGCATTCTTCAACAAGCTTGAAAGCAAAATATTCCAATGACACTAATGTACAGCAGTAGCAGGCTACCGCAAACTGACAAATTGTGTCATACATTTTGCGCCATTGTCCTAAAAAAAAGTTCAAAATCTTACGCATTTAAAATGTCATTTCATTAACCTGACGTGCTGCTTGTATGTACGCACTTACATCTATATAACTCTTCAAATTCAATACTCTATTCACCCAATAATTTGTGCCAAATAACTCTCTCTCTTTCTCACGTTTGGATGCCACACACTTCCACGAAAATAAAACATTATTTACACCAACATTATTAATATCTTATACCTTGTCATATACATTCACGAGTATAAGTATCACTTAAAATAGTATTCATTTATATAATATTTACGCTTACACAATAATAATGTATGTCTTAACATGTTACTTAAATGACACATAGTTTGAGCTGCATCACATCTGGACCGATGCGGGTGAGGAGCGGTCACATCACAACAGATTCTCACATGCAACTCTTGCGAATACAATTTACAAATGAGAAAACAAAACGAAATGCACAATGACATTGAGATTAGCTAATTGAATACCTGGTTCGATGGAGCTCGCTCGCTTGGTGGGTCTCCGGGAGGAGTTTCAGGTCCGATCCAGCGATGGACTAAGAGACGGAGGAGATAGCGTTGTGCGGCGATCCCATCTGCGTGAGGACTTTGTCTAGCCACTGCAGGGGCCCATGGAGGTGGATCTCTATCCAGCACGGGGTGGAAGTCACATCCTGACGATGATATTCCGCCCCCCAGCCCTTGACAAAGGACATCCTAATGGTACACATCTTGGTCAGCTCGTAAACCGCCTCAAAACCATGGTTCACACTCTGAGACAGCAGCTGAGCGAACTCCCTATTGTTGAATATCTTCAAGGAGCACCCCGGAGGTATCTTGCAAACGGTGGACGGGTGGAAACCATGATGGTGATTGCAGTTTCTACTCTGCACGAATATAGCTGCATCCGACAAGCATTCCGCGTACACTTCACCCCCTACGTAGTACAAATGCACCCCTTTGCCTATGTGACGCCTGGTGTTCTCTATCGTAGAGTTTCTGTTAACATTGCTGAGTTGTCCGAGACAGAAGCGATCGCTGTTACTCGACGGATCCGTGAACCCGTCTACCACTACCGAATGGGAGCTGCAATGGAACACTTCGCCGACCCGACAGTTCAATTCGTAGTAGGCGACCGAAGCCCAGTATAAAGGTTCTTGGTAGGAGACGGGGGCTACTTCCCCGGGCGGTTCTGAATCGTCCGAAGGGGGAGAATACGCGGGAGGGGGGGTGTCGGGTAATTCAGAACTGGCTGAAGGTGGAAAACCTGAACCGGAATAAGAGACGTTATGGGGCATTGCAGGCTCCGTTGTCCTTTGGAAAGGTAAAAGTGAGTGGCCCGGCGCGAACTCAGAATGTCTAGGCACCAACACAGGGGGCAGTACAGGACTCTCGACCCGTTTATAGTGGTATGGGTTGATGCACACTTCCTTCTGTTTAGCACTGAACGGGTACTGGCATATCTCTAGGGGTTTGAGCTCGTGATGGCTCTGCAGGTCGGGCCAACGCCACACGCGACAGTATATGACGTGGGGCAAACCTTTTCTGTGCGATACCTGCAATTTATAAAGGGCTGATTGGACAAATATTCTCGCAAGAAAAATTTCACGTACATATATTATAGAAGCGAAAGTTTGTGAATGTGTGTGTGAGTGTGTATGTTTGTTACTTCTTCACGTCTAAACGGCTGGAGCGATTTTAATAAAATTTGGTATGGAGTTAGCTGACAACCTGGCTTAACACATAGGCTGCGTTTTACTGCGGAAAAATATCCCTATTAAACCGCGGGTACCATCGCGAGGCACAGCTAGTTAAATAAATGTCGCGGGTCTCATGCAACAGGGGCGTGTACGCATATATATCCAACTTTACAGGACGAACCCGTGTGAGGCGGGTCGTTGCGTTCTCTAAAAAATGGTTAAGCGAAGCGATGGCTGGTTCATGCGTCATGCTCGTGAACGGGTGCTGCCAGCGGAGATGAGTCCGCTCTTGCTTCATTGGGTCCTTTTTAAATTGAAAAAAAATAGAAATAGTTTTCTCGGTCCCTGTAGCATGAGCACCACAATAATTAACATTATATCGCGTTTTTTATCGCTTTCAACTGTCAAATTCCATAGTAATTTGACCATTGAGCGTGATAAAAATGCTTTATATATCATATCGCGGTGCTCATGCCAGAGGGGCTGGTTTCAGTAGGTATAATCATCATTATCATCAGCCTATTAATGTCCCCACTGCTGGGGCACAGGCCTTCCCTATGGATGGAATAAGGAGATTGGGCCATGACCCACCACGCGGGCCCAGTGCGGGTTGGTGGGTGCTAACGACTGCAGTTACAGCCGGGACCAACGGCTTAACGTGCCCTCCGAAGCAATATTAATTATTTTGCTTATAATTTAAAATAAACTTGACTAGCTATTAATATTGTCACAAACGCTCTCGAAACGGAACCGCGAAAGTGCTAGAGATCGAATGTGCCAGAGCACCGCGGGTCACGATAGAGGTCGAGTAATGCGGCTCATTCTAAAATGAGCCTTATGCAGTGCGGCGTAAAGGAGAAAGTGCAACGACATCTGCACTTGTTTACAAGCTATGCGCGTTACCTGCGTAGGTATAAGTAGGTACTTTGTACTCGCGGGTGCTAGCTAATTCTCAATTCAACAGGTACTTTCTAGAATGCATCGATCGGCGTATATAAGCGCGATTGGCGCCGCGCAGAGACAGTTGAGTTTCAACAGCGATTTCGGTGCGAATCCAAAGGCGATCAAAGTGCAAAAAAAGTGTTCAAGTGAGTTTGTTTAGAGACTTGTATATTGAAATACAGTGTTTAGTGAGTGTTTTGTAATAAACATTGTGTGTTAATTGTGTGAACTGTGTGGTGAATAAAGAACTGTCAAGCGTGAACTAGGGACACGAAAAAAGTATCGATACTCTGTGGTATCGAGTACTTTTCCTTTCGATACCGATACTTTTGTACTCGATACTTTGTATTCGATACTTTTACTAAATGAGTACTTTTTGGCAAGTATCGATACCTTTAAAAATTTGGATAAGCGCCTCATATTGATGGCAACGCCATCTTGTTAAATCATAGCAAACCTTCTAAAACGTTCCATAGGGTATTTGACAAGTTTTAGGCAACGATCTCACGTTATTGACTAATGTTTATGGAGTCCGTAAAAAGTGGATATTCATCATTCTGTTGTGTATTTCAGTAAAAATAACCAAATCAAAAACTCCATTTTCAAGTTGCCGCGAAAACGTTTCTCTGGACAATATGGCGTCTTACTAGTGTGTGACGTCACACAACTGTTATTAAAACGTCAAACGATACCATGTAATGTCACTTTGACCGGAAGTTTACTTGCGTGTGACGTCATTTTAGGCTCCGCTAATCCCAAGCGTTTTGGGTTACGTGACAATAGATAAGAAAACAAATATATTTTTCGTTATTTTGGCACTTTATTTTTAATACTGTCAAATGCCCTATTGCGTTGTTATAAAGTCAGTAACTGACATATTCAAATTCTTTCCAATCTGTGACTGTGTTTATTTTGCGCTTTGTTTTGTTTCATAGTAAATTATTTAGCGACCATATTGTTAGGAACTGTGATTGCTTCGCCGTTTATTGTGCTTTTCGCTTGACTGTATTTGATTTATTCAAGTGTTACACTATTATTCTGTCTGTGCTGTGTATACCTATTTGAAACCACCTGAAAAAAAGACGGACGTAACCTCTTCCATAATCTTGAGTGAAGCATGCCAATGGCAGCCGTTAACTACGTGTCAGATTCAAGTTAACATAAGTGAGTATAATGTTTTTTAATGATTAAAATTCAAGAATCAAATCTGAAACAAATCTGAAAAGTTTCATACTTTTAAATTGTTTGAGATTTCGATCTTTTTAATTATGAATGTAATATTAATGAACACTTTTTTAGTGTCAGAAATCACAGCTATTTTCTTTTCATTATATAATATAGCAATTTGTGAATTTACATGTCCTTTTTTTGTTTTTGACTATACGTACTAAAATAAAATTCGATTGTTTTTCTTTCAATTTTTACACCGGGGGGGGGGGGGGGGGGGGGGGCTATGAAATGTACTCGATACTTTGAAGTATCGATACTTTTGTTTCGATACTTTTACGAGTACGATACTTTTTTACCGATACTACTCATGAGTACAGTATCGATACTTTCTATTCGATATCGTGTCCCTAGCGTGAACTGGCATATAATTTCGAACCCCATCCCGACACGTAACAATATATTTACTATTTTTTTTTAAATAATTAATGAGCACCTCAGTCTTCCTAGTGTTCACTATCCCAGACATTGATGAATTGAGTTGAGATTACAATAATGTTTAGGTATTTGAAAATGCTAACAAATAAGCAACGATACCAAATACACCAACACGAATAAAATCGTGCCCGAAACCTGTCCAAAAGGTACATTAGACGATACACGGAGCTCCGTAAGATGATCGCGGAGTCAAAAACAATATAAAGCAATTTTTAAACATTCAAAGTCACCTTTAATGCATATCGTATATGGTCTTAATTAAAACACATGCGTCAAAGAGTTATGACAGTTCAAAATTACCAGTCGAATAATTTGATAACCATATTGTAGGAATGCATTAAAAATGATTGGTCCGCCATGTTGGATTTAGAATGAAGTCACTCTGTTAATTATGCATTGTCATCCGAATTGAACGTGCATACGAAATTTCAGCTCAATCGGTTGAGTGCAAGTGCCTTAAAATTGAGTTGTAAGATTCCACCCGAACAAACATACATTGCAAGTTAAATAAAAGCTTGTAAAAAAAGGACACTTTACGTACCATAAGTATTTATTTCGCATTTTTTCACGAATTCTGCGGCATCTTGAATTTTTAAACGGTCCGCGAGTGACTGTGAACCAAGAAGTGCTTGTGTGGTGTTCAAGCACTTCTTGATTGGACCACATTTTGAGCGCACGTGGTATATCTATAGTATTTAATATCGTTGCAAATAAGTCTTATAATATAAGGTTACTTCGTTATGATGGCGCTTGCAACCGTGCCGAAATATCGGAAACTCGCTAAAAACAAGGTGCATGGTAACAATCCCGTAAATCTATATAAACTCAAAGGTGACTGCCTGACATAGTGATCTATTAACGCACAGCCCAAACCACTGGAAGGATCGGGCTGAAATTTGGCATGCAGGTAGATGTTATGACGTAGGCATCCGCTAAGAAAGGATTTTGATCAATTCTACCCCCAAGGGGCTAAAATAGGAAATGAAAGTTTGTATGAAACTTTGTCAATTTTAAACCGATCGGGCTGAGACTGCATGCAGGTATAAGGAGAATCATAGATGAATGTCATTGTGTATAATACAAACCTGAGAACAAAAACTGTAGTTTACACTTCAGTTCTACACCGAAACGAAGCGAGGTCGGGCCGCTAGTAACTTATATTACTATAATATATCATATCGTCTGAAACCAGCCCCTCTAGCATGAGAACCGCGATATGATATATAACGCGTTTTTATCACGCTCAATGGTCAAATTACTATGGAATTTGACAGTTGAATGCGATAAAAAAACGTGATATAATGTTTTTTATTGTGATGCTCATGCAACAGCGAACGGACCGAGTAAACTATTTCTATTTTTTTTTTATTTAAAATTTAGCAAACTAAATTTAGCACAGATATATAGCTTGAAAGCTTATTTTTTAAATATTTTTCCTCTATCTCATATTGTGAGAGTGTCAAGAGTCAAGTGATGCACCTCTGACGGTCTGTCACTCCTAAACATATGTGATATCATTAATGTCAAATACCGTTTTAAATGAATTTTTCAGTTAGGTATCTTACCTGCAATCGACCATCCAGGGAGCGTGGAATAGTGACACACTTGGATGGTGTTCCAGGACATGACAGCGCCCTCTCCAACTCTTCAATGGCTCCTTTTCTCTTCTTCAGTTTCTTCACCAGACTATCTACCGCCTTCTCTGCCCATTTTTCTTCCTCATCACCCTGGGAACATTTTCAATGTTTTACATCTAAAGGAAAATTGTACTAGAAAAAAATCGTCGAGGTCCAGGCAGCAGACTCCGGATTTCCGGACTCCGGAGGATTAGAATCTGCACCTTCAGCTGTCCAGGGGCCATTCGCTTAACGGAAATGCTTTGGAAAACGCTGACGCTTAACGCGCTAAATGAAATCGTCATTTTGTTATTTCTAGCCGCCTGAGGTTTTCAAATGCCTCGCGCTCTTTTTTTTTATTTTGCATTGGTAATAACAAAATTAAAGGAAATGAGCGTGAGGTATTTGAAAACCTTCGGCGGTCAGAAATAACAAAATGAAATCGAAAGCGTTAGCGTTTTCCATAGCATTTCCGTTAGGCGAATGGCCCCCAGGCATGGCATACCCGATATGCTACCGCGACCTACCTCTTGCCTGGACAGATGAAGTGATAATCACTAAACTATTTAGTGACCACCCCGTTTTTCAGCTATATTTTATTTTTCCTTTAACTTAAGTATATTTTTTTAATTGAGGAGTTTAAAAATTGGCGTTTGGAATTTTTGTAAATATAAACAACAGTGAAAAGTAAAAGTTTTATGTGAATTACATAGTAATAACAGTTTTTAAGATAATAAACACAAATTAACTAAGAAAGTAAAGTTTGAATATTATCAATATTTCCGCACAAATTTATGAAAATTGTCTCTTTTAGTAGCGAGTAGGACCTCCTGTAGTCCGTGTACTCTCTCTTAGTCTATCTGGAACGCTTTCGATTAAATGAATAACGCTTTCAGTCGGTATTTGCTCCCAACAGACTTTAAGGGCGTTTATGTGGTCTTGTCCGCTATTCACATGACTGATTTGACTTAAGGCTTCTTTTTAAATGATCCCATAAATGTTCAATAGGATTAAGGTCGGGTCTCATGGCTGGCCACGGTAGTACCATAATATTGGCTTCTGTAAGTGCGTATAGAGTGATACGAGCCGTATGCGCGCGGGCACTTTTTTTTTCTAGATAAGTCCGACAAATGACCTCACCCCACCCTTAAGTGAAGGTGAAGTCCAGACGCGAAGATAGCTGATACAGCAGTTCTACCTGCCACACCAGCCATCCTCACCCTGCCGGCCTGCATGTTGCTTCTTCACGCCTCTTTTAAAGGATCCCAGGTTGTAAAAGGAAGGGAACACGTGAGCGGGCAGAGCATTTCATTTACGGATAGTGCGACAAAGATAATTATGTGTCACCAAATTTCTTTGCACGCGTTGGAATTGTGGCCACAGTTAAGACGGTGACAATGTAGGCCAGCGCGCGTGGTCCTCTGAAGAAAAGGGAAAGGTGGAATAAGAGAGAATAACTCCTCAGAACACTCGCCGTGGTACAGCTGATAAAAAGCGCTTAGTGACGCCATGTCACGGCGTAATTGACGAGGCTCGAGGTGTTTAGTCGCCTCCTCATCGCCTATGATGCGGATCGCGCGCCCCTGTAACCTATCCAAAGCATCGAGCAAGTACTTGGGGGAGCCATTCCAGAGGTGCGAGCAATATTCCACGCAGGACCGCACTTGCGTTTTGTACAACAAGCACAGTTGATCGGGCGTGAAAAAACGCCGCACCTTGTTCAGAACTCCGAGTTTGCGTGAAGCTGTTTTGATCACGGTTTCAATGGAATCCTTTGTATTCAGGTCTGAGCGAACTTCCGTACCGAGCATGGTAATGTAGTAGCGCCACTGTAGCGCCAGTGTTGTGCTCTGAAGAGAAGAGGGAAGGGGAAGGAATGGCGATGTATTTGCCGTGAAAGCGCAAGCCTGAGTTTTATTGGCATTGAACTCAACTAAGTTCCTGGTACCCCATTGGGGAATGTGGTCCAAAGCCTGATTGAGTTCAATGACAAGATTCTCCCGTTTCTCCTTGGTTACCGCCTGCCCAGCCGCTGCTTGTCCGAGATACCCCGCATGCACTGTACTATCGTCTGCATAGCGATGAATATTCCCAAGAGGAATTAAGTCATTATTGATATGCATTGAAAGAGAGTGGGGGATAGGACGAAGCCCTGGGGAACATTCACTGACATGAACCGCGAACTGCTACCATCCGTAAGGACACGATTTCTACGCTCATGCAGGAAGTCAGCTACCCAAGAACAGAACTGGGCCGGCAGACCGTATGCCGGAAGCTTGGAGAGATGGCTTTTGTGCCAGACCCTGTCGAATGCTTTGGCAATGTCAAGGCTGATAGCCAACGACTTGCCACGCTTGTCGATAGCCTCACCCCAGATATGAGTCAAGTACGCTAGAAGATCACCCGTCGATCGTTTCGGTCTAAATCCATATTGACGATCATTATTCAGGGAGTGATCCTCTAGGTAGCGGGTCAGATGGTTGTTAAGGACCTTTTCTAGAACTTTACATAATACTGAGGTGACTGCTATTGGCCGGTAGTTTGCCATGTCTGAGCGATCCCCTTTTTTGGGCACCGGTTGCACGTTAGCATCTCTCCAAGTCTCCACCACACGCCCCAAAGAATACGAGCATTGGTACAAGCGCGTGAGCACGAGAGACAACTCCGCCGCACATTTTTTTAGTACTACTGCTGGGATGCCATCAAGTCCACTAGATTTCCGGACGTCGAGTGATTGCAATTCGGCACGAACCTCACGCTGCCTGATTTTAATATCAGGCATCGTTGTGCCACAATGAGGTAATGATGGTGGCAGTGCAGTGCAATTATCGATTCGGGAGTTAGCCGCAAAGAGTTTTGCCAGTATAATAATCGGCTTTCTCTTGCGGCTTATGAGATAGTGTTCCGTCTGGGCATGTCAGAAGTGGCAGCGAAGGCTGGCAAAAGCACTGTCTTGGCCAAACTCCAGTAACTACGGGAGCCCTTAGGATGCGTTATGAATTCGTGACCAACACGTGCAACGCGCTGGGCATCCACTCCGGTGTAAGCCTTCTTACAGGCCTTGGAAGCAATATTGTAGGCTGCTTTTAGTGAATCGACCCCGGGATCCTTAAGAGCGCGGCCTCTGATCCAAGTACGATATGCCGGTTGCTTACGCGAAGCAGCTTCAGCACAGTCGTGATTGAACCAGAGGTTACGTGCGCTTACTGATGAGATTGGAATGAGGAATATAGTGCTCCATACCCATTACAATCTCCTCAGTAATAGCTACGGCGCTGGCTGATAGGTCCTTGTCACTAAAGCAGCGCTGCTTCCAAGGAACGGACGCAATGTGGTCACGCATACCATCCCAATCTGCCGACCCATAGTGCCAGATCCGGCTTTTCATCACTGTTGGACGCGGAGGCTTGGCCTGTGGCGCTTTGGCATATATCAGGCAGTGATCCGAAGAGCCCAGGGGGTTCCTACCACAACCTGATAGCCCTGTGGATGGGTCGTGAGCAGAAGGTCCAGTAATGAAAGCACTTAACTTGAAATATCTGGAATCCTGGTGGGCTGATCGACCAGTTGCTTCAAGTCATGCGTGAGAGCGAATGCGTGAGCAGAGATCCCTGCATGGTCAGTTTTCGAGGAACTTAACCAAAAATTGTGGTGAGCATGAAAGTCCCCAAAAAAAAACAATTCTGCATTGGGAAATTGCTCCTGCGCGTCATCGGCTGCCCGACTAAGATGTTCGAACATGGCATATTTTGTTCATTTGCGAAAATTAAAGGATTAATTATCATACAGCCTTGACTCAAGCCTGATCAGAATAATAAAATTTTAGGTCTTCAGTGAATTGATTTGATAAAAATTAGGGCCAAATATGTCATAGTTTCAAGGAGTTTAGAAATAATATTGTTTATTTCGATATACTTACACAACTATTTGTTGTGTACATTTATTGTTCATTAATTTTGTAAAACGGAGCAGTTTGCTTTTTAAACAGACATGACACCTGTGTAGCTTGAGGACAGATTGTCCTCAAGCTACATAGGTGTTAAAATTCTTTACACAAAGTTGACGTCACACAGTAGACATCATCAAACCGAGCGTTTTGGCGGTAAATTCAAAACCATTAAAAATAAACTCGACTTTTATTGGTTTAATGGAGAAAAAAAGACATTAATTAATTTATATTTATTTTTCTGTTAAATCGTTTGTCCCAATCTTTATATATAAGCAGTTTTGAAAATTTGGAAAATACCCTATTCAAAAAAAAATAGATTTTCATTTAAATATTAGGATTTGTAATGTGTTAAAATGACACACGAGTTTGTTTGAAGAGAGACATAGAAGGTTTCTGTTTCAGTTTAGGTTTTGTCACTCATTTCCTTTACCATAGATCGTTTTCGATAGTCCATGCATATTTTTTTATTTTCTGTGCAAAATATAGTTTCCTCACTATTTGCAGCTCAAGAATATTTTAGATGTATAAGTAAATACACTTATTTTGTTAATTCAAAAATTATGGGGGACTGCAAATATTGATTAAGCTTTAGATTAAGTAATTAAGTGACGGCACTTGGGTGGTTAAAGCTTCATTAATAAAAAAAACTTTTTTTATATTAATAACTAATCCAAACTAAAAATAAAGAATAAAATAAAAATACATCACACTATCATATCCATGTGCTTTATGAATGTAAACAAGTATAAGTCATGGATCGAAATTCAGAGAATTGATGACTGTGTGCTATGAGTCACACATCAATAATAGACAATAATTTTAAGCACTTCCACATGCAACATCCTAGTCAGTATATTTATTGGATAAAACATAAAAAAAATGTGTGTTAAATGACACATATTTTTTTTGTTTTTGAAAATATATCTTTTTATGTTGTCCATGTCTATATTGTAATCTATGTTTTTTAGGTTTGTATTTTTGGTGTTTTTGGATATTTTGTTCACTGCCAGTTTCAACTCATTTTAGCAAATACTAATTTACTCTAGAAACAATGCTTATCAAAACCCAATAAATATAAATGTTATTATAAAATTAATTAAAATTTTAAATGCAATAAAGTGGAATTTTGACATTATTTTGCCAAATTTTATAGTGGGTCTTATTTTGTTAAATAGAAAACAAAGAGCTAATGATTTAATAAAATTAATGATATTAGATATGTTCACACCTACACTGTCAAGGTATAAATATTGTCGAACAAAACTTGTATAATAACAAACAACAGCACCCTATTGTACACAGTATTTGAAGGAATAAATTAATTAATTTCATTAGTTTAGAACTAAAGTAATACAAATGAATTGAAGTATATGTAGCTACCTATATACACAAGATATTAGGCTTGTTTTATACAAAATGGTATTTTTTTCTACATACTTGTACATTGCAAGCCCACAATCAATGAATACAAAATGTTCTATACCCAAAATTACATAGATTGTACTCCTACAATGAAACTTTTGAGAAGTTTTATATCAAGCTTTATTTCTCATGAAATCAAAAAGTAGGAGAGTTTGCAAGCGATTAGAAAATGAGTATTCACATAATCTAAGAAACTCAAGATAATTGATGATGAAAGGTAGCACCAATCTATGCATTTAGTACAGACAAGGAAGGGAGTTAAATTAATGAAAACATAAATAGGGCACCTATATACCGTGGCAAACTTCTTGAGTAACGACAATAGACTAGGCTTACTGAGCAGTAGCAATGTTAACAAAACATAAACATCCGCTGCCCAAATTTGTCTGTAGTTTTTCTCCAGAAGTTTGATGCTTCCTATAGTACTACTCACTAGCTTGAAAATAGAATAAGATTGCAAAAAACAAATAACCCAATTGCAACGGATTAAAAACTTATAGTAATCAGTAAATGGAAATGTATCTAACTACTTACTCAGTAGGCATGCGTCCGATATATCAAAACGAATCCAAAATCCGATTTCAAACACAAATCGATACCGAACGATTTCTCAACTAGAAAATCCGATTTCAGAAATCTAACCGAACCAAAACGCTAGCGATCACGTATCCAAATGTAAATCGGATTCGAAATTCGTGCTATCTTTTTTTCTCCGCTTTGTAGCGATTGGTTAGAAAGAGAGAAAGCGAATTTGTTTACAATTTCGAACGTCAGTAAAATTCGCTTTGTCTCTTTCTTACCAATCGTAACAAAGCGGAGTAAAAAAGATGCCGCGAATTTCGGAAGTCCGATTTGGATTTCTTGTTTACGGAAATCTATTGCCATTGAATATGTGCGATCAATATAGTCTTACGACACAGTACTTAAAGACTATATTTGCGTGACTAGGCTGTGAGGTGATGTATTTTGGCTTATATCTTAGCGTGCGTTTGTTTACTACAAAAACTTGGTGCTTTTGTTTAGATGCAAATTTGACCTTGATATGCAAGTGCACGCATGTCAGTCAGTGATTTTTGTTTGCCGGGTTTAGATAATTATTAATTACGTGTTTGTTAAGACTGGATTGGAGTTCAGAGTTCATAAAGATAATAATAATAAGTCAACTTAGTAAATTGTGTAGCCACATATTATTGAAATTTTGACGTGACAACGTCTTAAATTAGGTTGCGGCTGGGAGTCACTTATGAAAAAGTGTAACGCTCGGTAACGTTACGATGAGTCTCTCGTGTTAAGTTTAAGTTTACATGTACAATGTTTTAGTAAACAAAATATATTTCTATAGTTAAAAACCACACCAGGCTGGTGCACCACGCGCAGGTAATGTGTGACCCACGCGTGCCCCACCTGCGGGGCATGCTTCACCTACCACGCCGCGCTATACAACCACACCAGGCTGGTGCACCACGCGCAGGTAATGTGTGACCCACGCGTGCCCCACCTGCGGGGCATGCTTCACCTACCACGCCGCGCTATACAACCACACCAGGCTGGTGCACCACTCGCAGGTAATGTGTGACCCACGCGTGCCCCACCTGCGGGGCATGCTTCACCTACCACGCCGCGCTATACGACCACACCAGGCTGGTGCACCACGCGCAGGTAATGTGTGACCCACGCGTGCCCCACCTGCGGGGCATGCTTCACCTAACACGCCGCGCTATACAACCACACCAGGCTGGTGCACCACGCGCAGGTAATGTGTGACCCACACGTGCCCCACCTGCGGGGCATGCTTCACCTACCACGCCGCGCTATACGACCACACCAGGCTGGTGCACCACGCGCAGGTAATGTGTGACCCACGCGTGCCCCACCTGCGGGGCATGCTTCACCTACCACGCCGCGCTATACAACCACACCAGGCTGGTGCACCACGCGCAGGTAATGTGTGACCCACGCGTGCCCCACCTGCGGGGCATGCTTCACCTACCACGCCGCGCTATACAACCACACCAGGCTGGTGCACCACGCGCAGGTAATGTGTGACCCACGCGTGCCCCACCTGCCGGGCATGCTTCACCTACCACGCCGCGCTATACGACCACACCAGGCTGGTGCACCACGCGCAGGTAATGTGTGACCCACGCGTGCAAGTAAATTCTTATTCTTATTTTCATTCAATTCCTTGTTCCTATTGTGCAATTTAATTATATTCTTATCAATAAATATTCTACCGAGAAAAAGACGTTTTTAATTTGTTTTTTTTTAACTGTTGACTTTTTAATTGATTAGACGAGTTTTGTGTTGGTTTTCAAAATATCGTTAATTAATTGTTTGTTATTGTCGTTAGCTAATAAAACCAAATCTTAACACAAACTAGTGAATTGGCTAAGTTAGGCACATCTGAAATCGGATATCTAAAAACGGATTTTGAAATCGATTTTGAAATCTGAAATCCGATATATATCCGTTTGCGTTCAAAACCAAAAACGCCCATGTCTATTACTCAGGCCAATATATTCTTTTATTTCACTTAGCTTCTGTCTATATGATAGATTCAACTTAATTAGACCGATTGTGAATTTGTGAATAAAAAAAAGGATAAGTTGGTTCCTTTCTGTCAGACTTTAGAGCATAACAATTTTACTTAATATTTTTTAAAAATTGTAATAGTTATTTACAAGCAATACATTAGATTATTTCTACTGCACTGCGTACATATCAGTATTTTTTAGGATAAAACATGCTGATACTCTAATGAAAATAAATGCTCACCTGTTTCCAGCCTAGTAATTTTTTCACAGCCGGGCTCGTAAAAGAAAACAAGCTATTTAAGCTGGACATTGGGCCGCTGCTTGATGATTCCCCATCGTCGGTGTCCATGGTTACACACCTCAAATGAGTCCCTTGGTATTCCCCACAGCGTTCGAGATCCAATTACGACTGCGAAATAATGATTACCGTGACAAGCGTCTGTAGCTACAACGATGTATACAAAAGTAATTTCAATGGACAAACACTATATTTTCACTGAAGTCGTACAAAGTGAATATTAAATAACCTTAATTAAGTGAAATAACTGATTTTAGTCGGATGCTATTGTGCAAAAACTTGAAAAATGAAATAAAACACTTGTCAAACGACAAAGAGGAGAGGAGACACTTTTTTAATATATTTGCTGTTTTAATTTTCCAGTTTTGCGCCTAACGCAAAGGATTCATATTTTATACAACTTTATTGACTTGACGTGACAAGTGAATAAAAAGAACTTCCTCATAGGCCCTCACAGACCATTAGTACAATTTCTATAAACTGTAGACTATACTGGTATGGATTCTCGCATGATTCTCTAAACTTAAAACTAAATTTAATATCAGTCTCTCCTTTTCATTCTGTAAGAATGATAAGGATGCACTGTTGTCAAGTTTAGGTTTAGAGAATCATGTCAGAATCGATACCATTCTCTATTTTTTGAACCTATCTTTTAACAAGGTAAAATAAAGTTTATTTTACGTTTTCAGATGCAAAGAGGACCTAACAGGGCACAGCGAGATGGTCACAACAAAGGCTTTTTATCTCATTTATTTTATCTATGCGAGCCATGCCAGCTCAAGAAGGAACACTGCAATCCGCGATATGACCACTTACTTATTAAGATATAACACAAAGCTCGCTTTCATCACGCCCAATTGTCAAATTACTATGGAATAAAACTAGACTTATAAATAACCTTTGGAGGTGACATCAAGGTAGTGTACCCCAAAATGGGGCATATAGAAAGCAAAGTTCTCTTTTAACATATGATACATGTAAGAGCGTGTAATGCTGCTTCCGTAAGTATAAAAAGTGTATATGAATTCTCAATAGAATAAAAAAAAATCGATGATAAGTAATTATTAATTTAAAACAGATTGTACAGCCGTCGATTAGAACTTAGTGTTACACTATTTTCAGGGATTGGGAAGAGAATGAGGAACCCCCGTAACTTTTCTTTCCAATAGTTATTGAAAAAACAAGAATACTAATAAAAATGCTTCATAAACCTTTATTAATAAAATTCATTTAAGTAAAATAAAATAAACTAACTAAAGACCAGGCTGTATAGGCATTATTCTCATTGCCTTTCCTGAATAGGGGGAATGCTTTAAAAAAGGTATCGGATTTTGGCGAGAATTTTCTCGAATTTGAAGTGTCATTCGAAGATTTCTTCGGCTTCTGTTGTACTTTCTTGAATAAACCGAAAGTGAAGATACTACGTGAATAAATTCAGCTGCGTTAGACAAGGAACAGTGTATTTTCATTCGAGTCATTTTCAAAAACGTGCTGCTTTCAGAGACTATTGTGTTTAAATCATGGAAAAGGTAAGAAGAAAGAGGTTATACCGACGTTAGTCACAATGGATTTTTTGTAACTAGAAATAATGTTTTTTAACCTTGTACAATTTTAGGTAAACCAGTTAAAGGAGAAGGGTAATGCGGCACTCTCGTCGGGTAATTACAAAGAAGCGATAGATAGTTACTCTAGTGCTATAGCTTTAGACTCGCAGAACCACGTTTTGTTTAGCAACCGCTCAGCAGCTTATGCTAAAGCTGGTAACTACAAAGCAGCGCTCGAAGACGCTGAAAAAACAGTATCGATCAACCCCAGTTGGAGTAAAGGTTATTCTAGAAAGGGTAGTGCCTTGGCATATTTAGGAAGATTTGATGAGGCTATTGAAGCTTATCAGAAAGGTTTACAATTAGATCCCAGCAACCAACAACTAGCATCTGGATTGGCGGAAGTTAAGAAACAAGCAGATGAAGCTCAAACTAAAATACAGGAAACTATTGCCAAGTTACATGCTAATCCACAGACTAGAGAATGGTTGAAAGATCCAGAATATGTGAAAATAGTTGAGGTAAGAATATTATTTATCATTGTTCAAATATCTTTGTGAAGTTTTTATTACACAAAATGAGTATTATTGCATTATTCATTAATGAAGTGCTTTGTCATAGTGTAATTATCAAATTCACAATCCATATTCATGAGAACTACTGGAATTTTATTTGCATATTAGTTAAAATTTGTTAAAAATAACTGATAATTTGTGTCATTTCAAAACTGTTATCAATAATAAGTTTCACACAGGATGTGGTTTTTATTAATAAACCTTGTTTTTCTGTTTTGTAGAAACTTGCCTTGAACCCATTTGATATCCAATCCCTGGACGCTAAAATGCAAGACAAAAGGGTCCTCGCGACTATTGGTGTTATGTTTGGTGTGGACATTAATGTGCCAATGGATGTAGACCCACCAGCTCCGGAAAAGACTCCATCACAACCACCAAAGAAAGAAGAGCCTCCTAAACCAAAATATGAAGATTTGCCAGAGAATCGTAGACTAGCATTATTAGAAAAGGATCAAGGAAATGAATGTTACAAAAAGAAAGATTTTGAAAATGCTTTAAAACATTATCAAAAGGCTGCAGAACATGACACAACTGACATTACATTCTACACAAATATGGCTGCTGTGTACTTTGAACAGAAAGAGTATGAGAAATGTATTAAAGAGTGTGAAAAAGCAATTGAGATTGGCAGAGAGAATAGAGCAGATTTCAAGTTAATAGCTAAAGCTTTTACTAGGATTGGTAAGTTACATATTTTTTATTTAATGCTCAACATGTTTTACCTTTTTGATAAGCAGATACAAAAAAAAGACATTTATTTTACAACAAATTGTTGAAGGGTATTTTATTGTAAAATTAATTTTACAGATATCTTCTCCATCTATACAAAATCAATGACTTTAGAATTGACTTTTTTTATTATTGATCAGCCTCTTTCTTGACTTATTTTCAGGTAATGCATACAGGAAAATGGAACAATGGAAATTGGCAAAAACGTACTTTGAGAAATCAATGTCAGAACATCGTACTCCAGAAATCAAGACTCTTCTTAGTGAAGTGGAAAAGAAAATTGCCGAAGAAGAGAAGAAAGCATACGTTGACCCAGTGAAGGCAGAACAGGAAAAGGAACTTGGCAATGAATATTTCAAGAAAGGTAATACCAGAAATTTCCAAGTTTAAGTTAATAAATATTCAAGTTTAGGAATGGGCTAGCTTAGATGTTTGACTAGAACAAGACTACAAAACTAGTACTTGAAGTTATTCTGCTTTATTATAACAATATAACTTAAATTTTCATTTCACTCAATCTGTATAGTTTTTGTCAAGACTTTATAAGTCAAGTGAGAGCCACTGACACAAAAAAGTTTATATTTTTTACTAGTGTCCCAATGGAAATGTTGCAAAGAATTTGATTATTTCTAAAGATAAACTGGTAGATAATGTTTCTACTAAGACTTCATGAATAGGTTGAATCTTTTCAAAAAACTAACTGTGGATAAAAAAATATTATGTCAGAAGGTTTAAGATATAACATGCAAATGATTGCCATATATATAGTGTTATATAATAAGTGTGTGAACTTAAATTCCTTATCTCTATGTTGCCTTATTGGTCATTACCTCTTTTAATTTAAGATAAACATGATATGAGCATTTGTAAGTTTCAGATTTTTTTTTAATAAATTAGTATCAATGGCAATAAATATACATTTGTTTTATGTATATTTATATCATTAACTTTCTCCTTGCTTGATGCTTTAGAATCCTAAGCTACTGGGGGACATGAAAATTGACAAATATGTTGATGCCAAAAATTTATCCCTTAGTCCATATCATCTGTTTCAAGGCAATAGAGTCTAATATGCTTTGGCTGTATGGTGACATAGAGTGTGAACTCTCGACCATAAAAAAAATAGATTGTCACAGAATGGACCCATTAACAAATGAAGAGTATCCATACATGAAATGTGTTTTTATTGGTTTTGTTCAATCTACTTTTAATAATATACACAACTCATTTGCACTTCGCTAGGTTTGTTGTCGATACAAACTCAGAGAAGGCATTTTGGTATGATAGGAGTTAAGTTTTAATTGATCTCTGTTTTTATATTCATTGTGGAGTTTCTATTAATTTTCTGTGATAGTTATATAATTTTTATGAACCTATGTACCAAAAAAAAAATTATTTTAGGTGACTACAGTACAGCAGTAAAGCATTATACAGAGGCTATACAGCGTAATCCGGATGATCCCAAACTATACTCAAACCGAGCCGCCTGCTACACCAAATTAGCTGCATTTGATATAGGGCTCAAAGACTGCGACCAGTGCTGCAAGCTCGACCCCAAGTTTATCAAGGGCTGGATCCGGAAGGGGAAAATCTTGCAGGTGAGTTTTTTAGAGCTAGTTAATTTATCATGATACAGAATGAAAAGGAAAAACTGTTGTAGAAATTAGGTTTCAAGAGAATCAGGCCCACTGGAATGCTTTATGCCCTAGATGTGTTAGTTATGTGTCTGTGATGAGTCTATTAAATTGACAGCTTAATTTAGTTAGTTTTTCAGGGCGGTTTCCGCACTTAGTCCTAATTATTGGACCATTGTGCGTGTCTCAAAAACATTCCCGTTTACTCCAGCCAGCCTATATCGGTCCAGAAGGAAAGCAGCCTTGGTAGACTGCTGCCAGCTTCCGGAAACGATTTTAGCGACAGGAGAAGTCGTGCCCGTTGGTCGACCGCACTCCTGCATTCCATGTTGACATGCTGTGGCGTTTCTTCTGCCTCCATGCATCCTCTGCATAGGGGACTGTCTGTAACTCCTATTGTATATAGGTGTTTGTTTAGGGGACAATGACCAGTCAGGGTTCCTATAATCCTGCGAAGTTTGTCCCTATTTAGTCTGGTAAGGGTGCGGGCAAAACTTTTTTTGCCGCCGGCACCGCGTTTTTTGTTTGCCGGCATCCTTCACCTGTGTTCCACTCCGTGACAGCTTAATATCGAGATTTTATTTATTTATTTATTTATATCACATTGCTCATGTACATTATTTATTATAAGGTCTTATATATACTTAATAGTGAGTGGTACATGACCCCGTTGGGGTGTTGCAACAAACTTGAGCTTAACATTAAATACATTATTTTCACTTAATTGCTGGTCATATCAAATCACATCAGGTCCAACCAAATTTAAACAAAATCAATCCATTTTAAAAATTAATCAAGTCAATTTATATCATATCATGTCATCATAATCATATCATATCATCATAGTCAAATCAAAATCATATCTTATCAAGTTAAATCACATTATATCAAATTAATAGGTCAAACATAATTAAGTTAAACTAAATCAAACAAACAGGTCAAGCATAATTAAGTTAAATTAAATTACATTTATTTTTCATTCATAAATTCATCAACAGAATAATACGCTTTTTTTATAAGATGCTGTTTCAATTTATTCTTAAATATGTTTATATTAGATTCTGTTTTAATAATAACGGGAATTTTATTATATATCATTATGGATCGGTATAATGGTCCATTTTTATACATCTCCAGTTTAGGTTCGGGAGGAATCAGATTAAACTGGCGGCGAGGATTATTACTTCTTTTATAATATGATTGATATTTGCGTACAAACATCGCTAATTCCATAATATATATTGATGGGAGGGTTAGTAATTTCTCATTTATAAAGTATGGCCTGCAGCTTTCTCTTGGTCGTATATTGTATATAATACGCAGGCATTTCTTTTGTGAGATAAACAGATCATGTGCATTGGTACTTTGCCCCCAGAGAATAATTCCATAACTTAACCATGCGTATGCATACGCATAATAAGCCGATAAAGCACATTTTATATTAGTATTGGTTTTTAGCACGCTTAAGGCGTAGGTAAATTTCGATATTTTTTTCCTAATTTGTTCAACATGGGCCTTCCAGTTCAAGTGTGAATCGATAGTTATGCCTAAGAGTTGCACGCTGGATACTTCTTTTATATTTTGTGAAGTTTTAGCCTCATTTAGATCTATGGATGGTTTTTGGTATGGGTGGAACTGTATAATGTGAGTTTTGGTTTTGTTTATTTCTAAATTGTGATTTTTGAGCCATTGGTTTATAGAGTTTAATGTGGATTCTATTTTCGAGTTAAAGTTTATGTTGCGAGGGACTTCAAAGAGAACCGAGATGTCATCAGCAAAGAGTATGCACTTAAATTCTGTCGTCTTTGGTAAGTCATTGATATATATCAGAAATAATATACAGCCGAGAACACTCCCTTGTGGTATTGAATGATTTATTGTTACAATATCCGATTTGATTTGTTTCATTTCATTGGTTTCTTCATTAAAATGCTGTATCTGTACGAATTGACGTCTATTTTGTAAATAGGAACAAAACCATTTCAGGACTTTTCCTCGAATTCCAACTCCATGTAGCTTTGATATTAATATCTCATGGTCTACCCTGTCATAGGCCTTAGACATATCCAACATTAATCCTACTGCATGATTCTTTTCTCTTATGTAGTTTAATATTTCTTGAATATAGTTAAAAGTAGCTAAGATAGATAGATAGATATCTATTAAATTGACAGCTTAATATCATCACTTTCAATTCAATTAAATTTTTTGGTGATTATGGCTTTAACATCACTTTAACATTATCATTGATATTATTGATAACAAAAATAAGCATTATGTTTAAGATTCACATAATTATGTATATTTTTATAATGCAGTTGTTTTCTACCATAACTCCAAAAAATTTCTGGAGAGATTTAAATGTATACGATGTCATTAGATACATCATGAGTATTCAGGATATAATTATTTGAAAAAAATTTATTGGTGGTTTTGATGGGCTGACTTTTCAATTTATATTTTCTTTGCTTGTTTCAGGGTATGCAGCAACATTCTAAGGCACTAACTGCCTACCAAAAGGCCTTGGAGTTAGATCCCAGTAACGCTGAAGCACTTGAAGGATATCGTGCATGTTCCACGCAACTCAATTCCAATCCTGAAGAGGTAAGGATCAATAGAGTATTGTATAGAAGGTGGGTTAAATTGAAGCACTTGTACAGGAAATCAGGTTCAGTATAAAAGGACAGTTTTAGTAAGGAAGTTAGTGTGTTTGCTGTTTATTTAAATATACATAAAATAAGGACTTTTTTTCCTACATACCAATTAGCCTAGCCCCAAAGTAAGCACTTTATGGCTTGTGTTATGGGATGCTAGGGTAACGAAGAGAATACACATACTATACATATTAAACATCCATGACTGGAGTACAAATGCCTGTATTCATCACACAAACATCTGCCCCCACCGGGATTCGAACCCGGGACCTCCTGAGTCGGCGACACCATTGAACCCGGCGTATAAACTCGGCCACGGAGGTCGTCATTGAGGCAGATGGTAGATTTTTTTTCTTTAAATTTTGAACTAATACTTCTACATGCTATAGAACTGCCCCCCCTAAATCGTCTTACGTAAGAAAAAAATAAGACATGGTTGACCCCCCTCCCCCCCTAAATCGTCTTACGTAATAAAAGAATGGTCCCTGATGAACCTTCTAACAATATGCTTTTCGTAAGGTCCGTAAACGCGCTATGGCTGATCCCGAAGTACAGCAGATCCTTCGCGATCCGGCGATGCGTTGCATCCTCGAGCAGATGCAACAAGATCCTCACGCATTACAAGATCATCTCAAAAACCCTACCATTGCTGCCAAGATACAGAAGCTGCTGGAGTCCGGGCTTATTGCTATACACTAACGGGGATGTGGTGAGAATATTTCTATAATATTTACTGTAGATAAGAACAGATGCAACGAGATCCTCATGTGCTTCAAGATTATTTGAAGAACCTCACCATCGCTGCCAAGATACAGAAGCTGCTGGAGTCCGGGCTTATTGCTATACACTAACGGGGATGTGGTGAGAATATTTCTATAATATTTACTGTAGATAAGAACAGATGCAACGAGATCCTCATGTGCTTCAAGATTATTTGAAGAACCTCACCATCGCTGCCAAGATACAGAAGCTGCTGGAGTCCGGGCTTATTGCTATACACTAACGGGGATGTGGTGAGAATATTTCTATAATATTTACTGTAGATAAGAACAGATGCAACGAGATCCTCATGTGCTTCAAGATTATTTGAAGAACCTCACCATCGCTGCCAAGATACAGAAGCCGCTGGAGTCCGGGCTTATTGCTATACACTAACGGGGATGTGGTGAAAATATTTCTATTATATTTACTGTAGATAAGAAAGGATGCAATAAGATCCTCATGTGCTACAAGATCATTTAAAGAACCCCTACCATTGCTGCGTAACAGAAGCTAAGTGAATAAGGGCTAACGGAGATATGAGAACACTTTCTTGAGAGATATAGTAAAACATTGATTTCTCAAAACCGAAAACAAAATTCACTTACATGGTAAAAACAAATGATAATCTTGTAGGTGTGTTGTATGGAATGATTAAAACAATTCAGTATCAGAAATCACACTATTTAAACTTAAACTATTTTTATATTAAAATGTGTTTTCAAAATCAACGTAAGATCATACACTGTAAAAAGAAATATTTGTTACTTTAATATTGTGGGTAGATCGTTCTCGAAATCTGCTACTATTATTACTATATTACTATCAATTGTTGTGTGTTCTTAAAACAAAGCAAAAGGTATTGCACAATGTGTCATTGTGGCAGACTTATTATGAAGTTTTGCAGCTACAGATCAAAAAATCAGGTGTATTATTCTAATAATTTAAAATTTTCTGCTTGTCACGCCATAATTTGAAACCACATTATCGATTTTCTTTTTAAACTTAGAAATACGGTATAGGTTTTCAAAAACGCAGCGCTCGTAATAGAGAATTTAAGAAAACTTACCTTACAACTCAATAGGTGGCGCTGCAGAAAATATTTTTTTTGTTAACATTTTTAAGGGGCACGACAGAGTCCTTGCAGTTATGAAAAAATTACAATCAGCTAACTAATTATCTCTTACATATAAAATTCTCGTGTCACAATGTTAGTTACCATAATCCTCCAAAACGGCCTGACCGATTTTTATGAAATTTTATATGCAAATTCCGTGGGTCTGAGAATCGGCTACTATCTATTTTTCATACTCTTAAGTGATAATGGTTGTCCACCTGTAACGTAGTGTTCTGAAACCTACAATGCGCCTTCGCCTCAAAATTGAAACTATTATGTATTGCAACGTAGTGTTCTCATATGGGTTAGGAGGAATGTTATCCCAGGAAATTGATAGAACACTACGTTACACACCCCAAAAATTTTTTTTCGACATTTTTTTTTATACTTAATGTGGTTTTAAAAACAAAAATTTCTCTTCTACCACCTGCCCCTATTTTTATGGCGGTACGAAATTCGCTGGGTCAGCTAGTATAATATTAGTATTTCTATTTTACAGACATCATCACCGAATCTCACTTACACCTGCGTAAAGTGACTTATCAGCAATATCTAGCTTAAGGAAGCTACATTCAAGAAATTTACTCCTGAGCAACTTCCAAGTTACTACTTATTCGAAGCATGAAAAAACGCATACAACAAAAAAAATATAATAACAGCAAATATGCAAAGCGCTTGTATAAGTGAGATTAATCGAACATCAATAATGAGAAATTGTAATTTGCTTTGGTTGGTTTACTTTGAGAAATATATTGGACACCGATCACGCATACAAATAATAAAATTTCTTGCATTATCCCAAATGTATGTTTATATTATGAAGTGGTACAACGTGATATATATTATTAATATATCGATGCACGGCAGACCATCTGGAAATGTAGAAAAAAATGCACTTGATTTTGAACTTTGAACCGAAAGTGATTCAACAATTTTGAGTTTTTATAGAACAGCCGATGAACCTCGAGTCATAATGATGAAATGGTTGATTCAAAGTCAAAAGTGTGTTCTGATTCTTACACCGTACGTACCTTATTCAGAGTTTTAAAAAAATCCCTAAAAAAATGCTAATTTTCTTTTACAATTTGTTTCAAAATGAAGTCACAAATATAAGGGATCGTGTTGTTTTGCCACGCATTTAATAAGATGTTTAATATGTTCTAAACAAATTATAGATATGAATACAAGCAATAGAAAGTATATTGAATTTTTGAAATCTGCAACCGAATATCGGTTCTGACTATTTACCGATGACCACACAGTCCATATATATTTTAGAATACGCTAATATGTATTTTTGTTGTCAATGCTTTATGTCTCGTTTGTTTAGGGACATGGTTGATAATAATTAATTAACTTTAATTGACAAAATAAGTTGGCAATTTATTAGATTCCAGTAAGTTGTCAAGATCTGCGTCTACGAACAACATAAAAGCTTTTAAAAGATTGTTCTGCTTGATGTTATTTTAATCAGTGACTTAACTACCGCATACATAGACTTCAATTAAAATTAATGATTCTCAAAGTTAAGTAATGCCTTATTCTATGGCTATCGTTAAGAAGTGAATTAATTGACGTCTCTGTGTGCGGCCGTTAAATTGTTTTCCAACAAATCGAGCTTCATTATCCATTCCAAGTATTTTACCTCGAAGCAATGTGTAAATTATAATGTTATATACAGTCCAATATCGCCACAGAGGTGTGAAATCAAATCGTTCGTTGATCAAAATAATTCAAATATGGTTTTTGACAAGTCTTAGGAAAAGATCACAATTTATTTTATTATGAACTAATTAAGACCTTATTATAATGCATTAAAGGTAACTTAAGTTTATGGAGTCCATAAAAAGTAGAAACTTTTAATTCTGTTCTGTAATTGAGTGAGAAAACTAAATAAAGAATTCAATTTTCAATGTTTCCCTGGATATTGTGGCATCGCACTATGTGACGTCATACGACTGTCATTGAAACGTCAAACGATACAATGTAATGTCGCTTTGGCAGGAAGTTTACTAGCGTGTGACGTCATTTTAGTCTTGGCCAATCCCAGCCGCTTTCGTCACGTGACAACTTAATTATTTGTTTTTTTCAGAATAATGAAATCGGCGCTGATATTCATATTAAATACAGATGCCAACAATTGGTACATTATTTTTTATTCTGTCAAATAGCCTATTACTTAGCTTTCCATTTTAATTTTCCAAAATTATTATGTAACTAATTAAATGGTAACTTCACATGATTATTCCGTGTTTTCGTATTTGTTTTATTCAAATTATTCGGCTTTTACTTGCAAAAATTGAATAACCACAGATAAACGAAACGATGATCGTAGGGCCCATTTGTCAATGGATTTTAACGGCATATTGCGATTATTTGTCAAACATCACAAATGGCAAACACAAATATCCATGTGAAACCACAGTTTGGTTTCATTCAAGTACATTGTTTACTCCTTTCACAAATTGTGCTTTCACAACATACTTAAACTTAAAGCAAAGTCAATTCCTACTGAACAACCAAGCTGAATCACTCGAGTCTGGCGAAGTCCACTAAAGTGCACCGCCATTTTCTAAAAAGAAGAAGAAGAATTCTTTGTAAGATTTAATCTAAGGATACTGTAAATTACAGACTAAAGTTAGTTAAATTGGATTAAAAAGTTTGTAAACGAAATTAAATTGTAACCAACTGCATCTCTGTGGCAATTTAGGTTTGAATAAAGAACATATATAATGGTAAAAGTACCTAAACTGAGCTGATAAATGAGAGAGAGAGACAAAGCGATCTTGCGGCCAAAAGTTTGTATTGGCTGCACCATCTCCTTTTCTTTATCTAAAGTGTTGTTAATAGTTTCTTGCTGGTATCGCTCAGTCCTCTTTGTCTATAGGTCTCACTTGCTTATCACTCATCAGCAGAGAGTGCGCCTGCGATCAACGATATTAAATACCCTAGATAAACCACGTGTTTTCAAAATGTGTCCCAATCAAGAAGTGCTTGAACACCACTCAAGCACTTCTTGATTCTTGAAAAAAAATAGTATGTAAAGTGTCGTTTTTTCGACAGGTATCTAATCAATTTTTGTTAGTTTAACGTATTTGAAGCAAATTTTGTTCTAATACCTACTATAAATTGATTTAATAGCAAATATTTGTGATATTCAAATGCATGGGCGGTAATATAGCCGTCTCTTTTCCTCGCGGTCGGTACCTGCTATATAAGCGCATTCAGAATTGCGCGTAGAGTCAAAAAAATGAGGTCTGTATATAGTGTGCATTTAAGGTGACTTACAATGTTTAAATAATGCTTTATATTGTTTTTGACTACGCGATCATCTTACGGAGCTCCGTGGATCGTCCAATGTACCTTTTGGACAGGTTTCGGGCACGATTTTGTTCGTGTTGGTGTATATACCCTAGGTATTTAATATCCGTTGCCTGCGATAGATTGTTCAATAACTCTCTTATACATTACCGATTTTGATTCTTTGCCACTGTCACACCTTCGGTAATTGACAGAAAAAACTTTGGAATTGAATCGGGATTATGTTAATATTCACGCAATTCAAGGAATATGAAAATATTATATAGTTTAGTTTATAGTTAAATGCAAATCAGGGACCGCATTGTACACTTTGTTTGGTGTTATTTTTCGATTTAGTTGGAAATATTCTTATATATAATTTGGGCCTCAAGCAGATGTACTGCCATGGAGTTTTACATTACGATTTTTGTAATTTATTCAATAAAGAATTAATGATGTAGGCAATATTGTATTTTCATTTTTTATACTTTTCCTATTACGTTTGTAAGCTTTGTGATTGCCAAAGCATTTTAAAATATAAATAATAAGTTCTGGAAAACAAACTCGCATCACAGCAGATATTTCGCCCCAATCTAAGAACTTTTAGTATAGAACCCTAAGGCTGCAGATAGACGACGCGAAAAAAACAGATTTATGCTGTGTGATCGAGGAGTGGACGCCGCGTGGTCGCTGCGCAGTTAGTTACAAAGAATTTCAACGTGAAGTCCTAGGTAATAAAACATAAATCTGCTATGACTGAACAGTTATTACGCAGCCACAGCGCGGCCACCGTGCTGCCGCCGTACTGTCACCGCGCGGCCGCCACGCTGTTACATTGTGTCATATAAACGCGCCCTAATGATATTAGTGTCGATTCTGGCATGATTCTCTAAATTTAACATCAGTCTATCCTTTTCTTTCTGTATAGAGAATGACAAGGATACACTGTTGTCAAATTTAAGTTTAGGTTTAGAAAATCATGTCAGAATCTACAACAGAATTAAAAATACTAGAAGTGATTTCGTCTACTTGATTTTTTCCGGGATAAGTATCGCTGTCTTATTTCAGGTTATAAACCATATATGTACCATCCGTTTACCTCTTTTTGTTTGGCGAGTTACAAACATGTATAATTAATACTATAAATGGGTATGGAAATACATACGTGTGGTCATTGCAGAAATAAATGCCCAGAAATCTATGCCGGATTTCGCGCTGTCATTTTTATGTGTGAGTATCGTAATTACAATTTCATTTTTGCGAAAGTATGTTGGACTGCATTTGTGTGTATATTTCTCCCCACGCAAAAAATGGCAGAATTATATCGGTAGTATTATGTCATTATTGCCCATTCTAGCCGCGTCGGCTGTGTTTTACTATGCATATAAGACATTCAACTATAATGTACGGTTGTAGAACTTATTTTTGCTAGCTCAAAAACGCCTACTATTTGTTTTCTGAATAGAAAAGTAAAGATGAAGCTGTTAGGATTTTATATCCTTTGCCTTCCTATAATGTGGCATATTACAAAAAATATATGACACAAGTTGTCAAATTGACAATTAGCTAGGGATGCCCGACCTTTTGTATCATAACCATGTAAACCGATTCATGCTCTGAGTCGTATGGCATTGAATCGATTTCATTTGATGATTCTGTAATTGTATATTTTTTACACAAATTAAATAATATGTGCAAAATGATTTCGTTAATGCTGGCACTTCACATGGCTGTTGATATGGCTATGGTATTTTGCTATTTATCATTTTGACAGCATTTCGTATTTATCATACTCTATAGAAAATTAAAAGGAGAAAAATCAAGAGTTTTAAGCTTAGAGAATTATGCCAGAAACGACACCAATCTTTAGTTAAATGGTACGACTATCACAACTGAAGACTTGCTTACTAACCTTGTGATTATTTTAAAATGATCTTAAAATCTTTTTTTTCCGTTTATCAAGTTCACATGCAACAGAAATGAAACCTACAATATTGTGAACACATAAAAGTTCTTCATGTCTACGTCTTATGCCAGCTGTACACACTCGCCAAGACACTCCTAGACAGGCTGATAACAAGTCAGGAGTCACGTTTAGTGACCCTCTGCATCCTGTCGAGTCACCGTATCAATTTGACTACGGTGATTGCATAAATATATTTCGCTTAACTTCTCGCAATTTGGCTTCAGACCTGGCCTTTCCACTAAGAGTGCCATCATGTGTCTCAAGCAGACTGTCCATTACTACAATGCATGAAAGACACCAGTGTATGCTTGCTACCTTGACTTATCTAAAGCTTTTGACCTTGTATCCTATGACATTCTTTGGAACAAAATGAAATCAGGAACTGCCTACTTGCCAGTGGGAATTATACCCCTCTATAAGCACTAGTATGGCAACCAAAAGAACAATGTAAGATGGTCGAGTATTCTCTTGGATGAGTATAGTCTAGATTGCTGTGTAAGATCGGGAGGATTAAACTCGCCAACGTTGTTTAATTTGTACATGAACAAGCTTCTTGATGAGCTCGGTAGTACAGGTATCGGTTGTCACAAAGATGGCGTACGTATTAATAATATTAACGACGCAGATGATAGGGTACTCCGATTAGCCCGTCAAGCGGCGCGTTGAAGCGATTAATAAGTGTTTGTGAATCATATGTAACAGCACAGGGGCTCCAGTACAATGCAAGTAAAAGTGAAATCATAATATTTAAGCCGGATCTCATTCGTTACACTAATATCTGCAAATAACATTCTGCGGCTTTCAGTTGTAAAAAGTTAAACGCTTTAAGTACTTGGGTTACTGGATAACAGAAGATTTAAATGATATTTGTGATATTGAGAGGGAGCGGAGGTCGTTGTCTGTCCGCTGTAATATGTTATGCCTACAGATTCGCAAAACGCACCAAACCGTTTAAAATAGCACTTTTTCAAGAAATCTGCCAATCGTTCTATACGTGCGGTCTGTGGGTGAAGTATACGCAGGGGGTATAAAGAGGCCTTTGAATACAAGATTCAGGATGCGAGACGTCAATAAATATACTAAAAAGGATGCAAAACGTCAATAAATAAATAAATCAGTGCATCTGTACCGTTGAAACTCGTTTTATTTAATGAGTAGCGTGCGTGAAAACCTACAAATCAATTAAATGATTATTATTATTATTGATTTGAAGTCTGCAGAATGCAGCGTTATGTCAAGCAATCGTTTTTAAAACAAAGAATGGGAAAATTTACTGTTTGAAGTAAATGAAGAAAGCAAAAAGTTAGCATGAACAATACATTTTATTTTATTTTTTGACGTGACAACGTCTTAAATTAGGTTGCGGCTGGGAGTCACTTATGAAAAAGTGTAACGCTCGGTAACGTTACGATGAGTCTCTCGTGTTAAGTTTAAGTTTACATGTACAATGTTTTAGTAAACAAAATATATTTCTATAGTTAAAATTTGTGCAATTCTTATTTTCATTCAATTCCTTGTTCCTATTGTGCAATTTAATTATATTCATATCAATAAATATTCTACCGAGAAAAAGACGTTGTCACGTAAAATCTTCGCCCGTAAAACCGACTTTACAGCCTGACAAAAATGCACGACATTACCTAAATTTTCAGCCATTATAACGAAGAGTTTTAATGTCGTTAGGATAGGTTATACGATGTACATCGGGTCATCTTGTCACTTATAAAAACTTTCACTCTTTTTTTTGTATATTTCCTTGTCGTTATATCACACTCAGCAGCACACTCAAGTACACACGGTATTGCCGACGCGGCGAGATATCTCATGATATTTGAAGCTTCGTGTTGTTATTTCAAAACTGTTAGTATTTTTGTTAATATAACTGATGAATCAGGGTTATAATTTGTTACTCATAAAAAATAGACTTTGACTTTTTATTATTATTTGATTTATTATTCTTGTCATAAACATTGTTACAAGAAAAAATATAAAAACATATATTCATTTCATTCGCCACATTTAATGGTGTAATCATTTGTGGACTTCTTAACTTTCTATTACGTAGAATCGGTAATTCCACGTTTATCGTATGCAAAGCCGTAAATCAATCATCATAGGTAGTCGACGCAAGGCTGCAACCGCGTTAGCTCTGACGTTGAACCTCTATCGCTGACAGCAGCCGTCAGGCTATTGATTGCATGGTCGAGCGCATTCTCCTTTCGGGTCCTGTTGACCATGGGAGGGTCGGCTGGTAAATATATAAAACCAGTAATACAACTTTTTTTCTTGAAATTCTGTGTTTTTGTACCTATCGTACCCATCTTCTCACTTTTTTGATTTCCTTATATGGCATAACTTTGCCCGAACTTATGATCATACAATTGAATCTTGAAAAAGTTTAATCCTATTGAATCATTTTAAAATATCAAATTGATGAGAATCGCTCTTCGAAAAGATCGATTCAGACGAGCCCTAAATTTGACACTTTGATTGGATTGACAATTGACATTGACATTTCTTTTCATTCATTAAAAAAGTGGAGAGAGAGTGAGGTTTGCCTGTTATGTGTGAAGATTTTGTGGTTTAATTGTTTGTATAATTGTGCAGTTAAAATAATATGTGGAAATGATGTGATAAACGTGAAAAATACATAAGTGTACACCCATAAAGTGAAGTGAAAGGTTTTAGCAGCAGTTGAATAATTTTATCTATCTTAGTGATAAGTAGGTATTTGTTTATATTTAAGTTTTAACTAAGATTTTCATTTCCCTATTAATAGTTCATGCAAGAATATGAGATAGCTGTTTTTTTTTGTTCATAGAATAATGTAGGAAGTAGATTTTGCTGAAGCTGGTTTATTACAGCTAAAATATAACTTTTATAGCTTCTTTATTATAGAAGAAGTTATAAAAAATGTATATTTTAAATGATCAGTAACACTAATGTGCAAACTTCTTCTGGACATTACACTTTAAAATGTCGTAGTGCTACTATTAGATGCAAAATAATTTATCTGGCTGGTGCACTTTAAATTATAGTAAAAAAGTAAGTAAGTTTGGTGTAGAGCTGAAGTGTAGACTACAGTTTTTGTTCTCAGGCTTGTATTATACACAATGACATTCATCTATGATTCTTCTTATACCTGCATGCAAAGTCTCAGCCTGATCGGTTTAAAATTGACAAAGTTTCATACAAACTTTCATTCCCTATTTTATACCCTTGGGGGTAGAATTGATCAAAATCCTTTCTTAGCGGATGCCTACGTCATAACATCTACCTGCATGCCAAATTTCAGCCCGAAGGAAAGGAATTAGGTGGCTATTTCACAGAAAGACTACTGTAGTAACACTTGTTTCTGTCACTTTCATTGTTGAGCATGTATTTATTTATTTATTTATTTGATCACCAACAAAGTTACACTTAGACATTTCTTATTTACACATTTATAGTATGACACTTTATTAGTGGAACTTTAATTATAGGTGATTACTACATGCAATTTACACTTAACTAGCAATTAAATCTTATAAAATTATGATAATTACATTAATTTTAATACAAAACAATTATGAATAAAAAAAAAAATTAATTGTCAATAATTGAACAACAAAAATTAAATAAATTAATGAAAAACAATTAATGAAAAGTAAATTAATGAAAAAACTTTGTGGGCACAACCAAACAAAGATTTTATTCTCTTCAGTGTATCCGCGAAGATGTCCATATCGGTTGACTTTGACAGTGAATTGTACTGAGAGAGCATTCTATTTATAGGAGAAAATAAACCTAGCTTCGTTCTGGAGCTTCTTGTCGCAAACAAATTACATAAATAGTTTTGAAACTTTGAATATAAATTCTGAGCTAAATCTGTGTTAATGCCATCTATCGTTTGACAAGAGAATTTACAATCGGTCCATTATCATCGTCTGTTCATACATTCCTCACTCATTAGTATTATATAGATTCACTCTCCCTCTTGCTATTCGAATTCAAAGAGACAATGTACGCACATAATTTCATAAGATCTGTACTTTGACTAATATCCTACAATCTTAATATCAGATTTTTATTGAGAAATCTACATAAAGAAGACACTGAGCTATTGCACCACCTGTCATTTAAAAAAAAAATGTACATATCTCTGATTCATATGTCTGATGATATTCTTTACTTATATTAATCTTAACAATCAGAATTTATACAGTTATAGAACTTAAATTATGCCACTTCATTCCTTTGCAAAGTTAGCTTTATAACACAGTACCAACATTAAGAAAGCTTCTTCTATCTAGACTTGAGAGAAACTAGAATGTACATACAGTTTAATGTTTGCAGAGAGACATGTTTTAATAACAGTTTCTTTAAAGTTCTATAATTGTGTAAATATATACTGTTAAAGTAATTTATGTATACTGTAGAAAGAAAAAGAGTTATAACAGTAAAACAGGTTGGACTTCTCTGATACATAAAAAATAAATAAACAGTGTATCAAGACTGTTAATTGGGGTTAAGCATAGGGATACCATACCCTTTTTTTAAACCTACTATATTTAGGCCATTGCAAAGTTAGCTTTGCCAGACAACAATATTAAATACCCTAGATACACTACAAGCGCTCAAAATGTGTCCCAATCAAGAAGTGCTTGAACATGACTCAAGCACTTCTTGATTCACAGTCTCGTGCGGACCGTTGAAAAGTCAACATGCTGCTGATCTCCATGAAAACAGGCGAAAGAAATACATAAAGAATGTAAAATGTCGTTTTTTCTACAGGTATCTAATCAATGTTTGTTAATTTAACTCATTTGAAGTAAATTTTGTTTTAATACTTACTATAATCTGATTTAATAGAAAATATTTGTGATATTCAAATGTGTGGTCGATAATATAGCCGTCTCTTTTCCTCGCGGACCGTACCTGCCATATTACTAACAGCATATTCAGAATTGCGCATACAGTCAAAGAAATAAGGTCTTTATTCTTCTGCATATAGGAATAAGTCGTAAAATTTTACTAGATTACATGACTCGACTGTCATAACTCTATGACGCGTGCGTTTTAATTAAGACCTTATACACTACGCTTTAAAGGTGATTTTCAATGTTTAAATAATTCCTTATATTGTTTAGACTACGCGATTATATTACGGAGCTCCGTGGAACGTCCAATGTACTTTGTGGACAGGTTTTGGCCATGATTTTGTTTGTGTTGGTGTATCTAGGGAATTTAATATTGTTGTTGCCAGACTCTAATACAGTAATATCTTATTTCAGAAAAACTTATATAAAAAATAATGTTTTGTTGTTATTTGTTACAGATAAATAAAAGCCACAAAAATGGTTGCTTTACGAGTGAAAAGTGGTCTGTTTATGGGGTTTGGTGGAGCATTAGTGGTTGTTGGAGCTGTGATGGTGGCATATTGGGATTCAATCTTCATGGCGCAATTGCGTAGGGTAATTAAAATTTTCAGATATTGGATCTTGATGTAATTTTAATAGGGTATTTAACGAGTTTTAGAAAATGATCTCATGTTATTCATTAATGTTTTTATGGATCCATTTTTATGGTGTTGCATATTTCAGTAAAATAAATTTAAATAAAAAGTACCAATTAAATAAAACAAGTTTTAACGGGTTAGATGCACTGATTTTATTTATTTTTTGATGTTTTGCAAAAATACCATTTTTAAGATTCAGTGAAAACATTTCTCTGCACTTATGGCGTCTCACTGCTATGTTACGTCACTAGCCTGTCAGTAAAACGTCAAATGATACAATGTCACTTTGACCGAAAGTTTACAAGCGTTTGACGTCATTATAGTTTTCACCAATCCCAGGCATTTTAGGTCTCCTGACCTTAGAACAAAAAAATTTTGTATTTAATGTTTTTTTTAATAGTTATTAATTAGGTATTTGTTCTTCCCGAATAGTAAAATCGCTGCTAATATTCATATTAAATATAGATACCAACAATTGGTACTTTATTTTTCATACTGTCAATTAGCCTATTATATTTTATCTATTCATTTACACAAGTATTTTAATTGATTATAACTACAGAGATAAGATATAGCTTGTCAGTAAGTTCGGAGGAAGTATTTGTTTTCGATGCAACAAAATTTCCTATATTTTAATTATTAGATAATATGTTGATTGTCTTGATTTTTTTTCCTTTTTGTTTTGTCAAATTAACTTCATTTCACAGGATCTCTTTCAATTCATTACATTTAAACTCATCTTATTTTCTTGTTTGTTGTTTCGAATCAACTTTCATATAGAATAAATTTGCTCCTTTAAATTTGCAGCAGGTCATATCCACATTTTCAAACAAAATTAATACACACACTAATTCTGCCGTCCTCAAGCTTAAACGCGGCTAAATGACAGAACCAACCCTTTCAGATATGGTCAAAAAACGACGCGTAAACTTTGAATTATTGCTTTTTGTAACCAATCATCACATGACGTATTTTAGACTTATACTATAAAAGATACGAATACTTTTTAAAGACAGATCGATAGAGAATTAAAAACTGTATAAAATGCAATATAAGACTGAAAAATCGACCACATGTCACTTAGCCGCGTTTTTTTTTTTTTTTTTTTATAGTTTTAGCTTGAGGATGGCAGAATTAGCCTAACTCCAAAATAAGGCTTGCGTTATGTGATGCTAGAGTATTATAGATTATATTGATTAACTGATTACTTATACTGATTCATATATCAAATATATATTTATAATTATAATACACCAATCAGACGTAAATAATATGTTAGGCTCTTTGGACTGAAGGCAAAGTACCATTGCTGTCCCAATGAAAGTGTTTTTTTATATTAAAGTCAGCTTGATTACTCTCGATTACACTTAATGTTAAGTGATGGTTAAGTTTAGACTCGAAGATAGCTGGTGTAGCAGTTATGAACTACCACACCAAATATTCTCACCTTGTAGGACTCCGATTGTAGGAAGGAGGTAACTAGGGATGCCAACGATACATCGATGATTGTAAAACATCGAGGTATCGGTTATTAACATAATTTGATTCTTTGACTACATACCTATACACATATTAGATTTCTTGATTGGGTGAGTAATGTACTCCTTGAATTAATTTATAAAGTATAGGTTATAGGTTTTTGTTGGCGGGTACGTGAAAATTGAGCGTATAATTTTAAGGTTAAAAAATGATAAAACGAATAGCTTGTTGATTAAAGCAGCTTGTGAACTGACAGTTCATATTAATTTGTTTATTTGCCTAATTGACTGATGAGAATCATTTTGTAACAATTTAATTTACCATCATGTAATTCTTATTTTTATTAACCTATGAGCATCGAGCATACTTATCGATATATCGCTCTTATCAACGATATTTTTGAACATCGATGTTTTTCAGAACGATGTTGCATCCCTAGAGGTAACATGCGCGCAGGCAAAGAATTCCACTTGCGAATTGCACTAAATGAGTTACCAAAGTAGTAACCGAGTTTGAGAAGCTCGATCGCGCAAGTGGTTAGCGCGTTCGGCTGCGATCGTTGATGTTAAGCAACTTTCGCAGGGGTCGGTCATTGCTTGGGTGACCAAAAATTTATTATCACGGGCTCCTCCGTGCTTCGGAAGGCAAGTTAAGCCGTTGCTCCCGGCTGCATCTGCAGTCGTCAACACCCACCCATCCGCACTGGGCCCGCGTGGTGTGCTATGGGCCAATCTCCCTGTTTTCATCCATAGCAAAGGCCTGTGCCCCAGCAGTGGGGACATTAATAGGCTGTTGATGATGACTTGTTGAGTTACTAAATCTCTTTGTCCGTGTAGGAATCGTTGATTGATATATTTTTATTTATACTGTATGACACAGCAATCAAAAATACAGGTTAACAATTAATATATATTTTATCAATATGTAATGAAAGGTGACTTCATGAATCATCTGAAGAAGTGATTTTTCAATTTGACGACTCTGTAAATAATAAAACAGGGAGGGAAAAACAGCCCTTGCTGAGTTTCTTGCCGGTTCTTCTCAGTACAAGGTCGCCCGCCGTAGATTTACGAACCTATGGCGTAGCTTCTAGACATTCATGAGTGCTTGTAACAGCCTAAACTGAATAAATGATTATGATTGTCACAGTCCGCTTTAAAACAAACTGCTTCTTCTAGATGATGGTGCTGTCCCCGACATCCATGTCTTTCGGGTTATGGCGGGAGATACCCATCCCGATGTACCTGGAGTGCTTCATGTTCAACATATCCAATATAGACGATATTCTGGCGGGCAAGAATGTGTCCATCAATGTGGTGCAGATGGGGCCTTACGTCTTCAGGGAGTCGCACACAAAGGTAACTTTATTAGGCGTGCGTGTCTTAACTTAGGGCGTTTGTTAACGAGAATGTTTTTATAATGCGATTCAAATAAGAATAGGAAAGCCAATGACCTCCATCTGTCAAATGTCGCTTGAAAAGTACGGTTTGCAAAAAAATCTTGAAATCTTTTTTTAGCACTCTGCTAATTCTAGAATTAAAATCAAACATTTGTAAACAAACAATAACAAATATTGATAATTAATATTGGTTGATATTTTTTTTTCATTTATTGAGCTTTGGCTATAAATGTTTGATAACCTAAATCGTCAACCAAATGTCATTTTAAGTTGCATTCAGAAACTCGATTTGAAACTTTCGTTTACATAAAGAATGCATGTTCGTATGTGACCTAGTAATAGTGCATGATTATCCATAATTACTCCGGCCGGCCGGTAATGCAGAGATGAGCGGAATTGAAGGGCTTAATTCTGATTAATGTTTTTTCTTACCCAGTCCTAATAAATAAATATTATTAAAAATCGGTTGTTTTCTTTTCTCAATCTCTGTAAATAAATTATATTAAAAAAAATCTGATGCTATTTCTCACTTAATCTTAGTAAATAAGTTTTATTAAATAAAAACTGTTTTGCTCACTCTACCTATTTGGTTTGAATTGACAGCTATGACGTCACAATATGGCGCCCAGTCGGTCCTATTCTTAGTTGAATCGCATTATACACTTTTTTTAGCTTTCGCAAAGAAAGTGACAGTTTTGACTGTCAATTTTAATAAAGATAAAGGTTGATGGACGTCTGAATGCAGCCTTTTATTTGCGTAGTCGGAGCAACCAATTTTATACTTACCTACTTAGCATTAGATAAAGTTTGACCTATTAAACTGCCATAATGTCCGAATATAAAAGAATGAGTAACGCAGTTGTGTGACTAACTGACTACTAAATAGGTATATACTAAAAACAATATTTTGCATTCAATTTTATCAAAAATGGCAGTTATTATTCATTCATCATTATATTTATCGTTACAATTTGTTATCTTGAATGCAAAGGAAACGAAGAGAGTATTGTATCTCTGTAACATTTAAATATTTATCTAAACTACACATCAATCATCAAGTTTTCCATTTTTAGTTGTCCTCCTAAACTGCTGCTCTCTGCCCGCTCACGTGTTCCCTCCCTCTTACAACCTGGGATCCTTTAAAAGAGGCGTGAAGAAGCAACATGCAGGCCGGCAGGGTGAGGATGGCTGGTGTGGCAGGTAGAACTGCTGTATCAGCTATCTTCGCGTCTGGACTTCACCTCCACTTAACATCAGGTGGGGTGGAGTCATTTGTCGGACCTATCTATAAAAAAAAAAAAAAAAAAATAAACCTCCTAAACCTCGCCCTCGTCTTTTATCCGGGGGCGAGGTTTCCTAACATTAAAAGCAGAACAATTTTGCGTGTTGTCCCGTTTCCAGTAATAAGAATTTATTGTCCCAGATTCGGATAATGTGCTAGTTTCGTAACAAAACAAACTAATATCGAATGAGACCGGTTGCCTGCTTGATGTTTTAATTCTGGGGGGTGATGGGGGGTTTGCTTAGATACTTTATTTTTTAAGAGGGGGGGGGGGGGGTTGCAAATGTCCCAGATTGATAAGCCAGCATCTGGCAACCTTAGTATCAACTGTGGTATCACAAATTGTGGTATCAAATTTGTTGATTTGATGTGGTGGACGTGCGTTGCGCCGATTGTCTCTCCAGTCGTACCGGCGTAGCTATTAAGGCTTTCAGTCTCGATACATTTTCGAGTCCCGGGAAAAAATATCGAGACTCGGTCCGGTCCCGGGACTCCAGGGAAAAACGAGACTTTTGAGACTTTGAAAACAAGTTTCATACTCAAGGTTTAAGTATCTACTCTAGTATTAAGTACTTTAATAATCAACTATTACAATATAATCAAATATAAGTGATAGGGTTGAACAAGGTTATAACAAGAATCTAACAGCATGTTAAATGAACAACACATCATGGTTAGTAATATAGAATTAATAGATTATATTAAACAATTAATTTATTTTGCGCCATCAAGCTGTCACAACAAACCAAAACATTCACAAAATATGACGCAAATAGTTAAACTAAATATTATTTTATTTGTAACTTATGCTTTCAACATGAATAAGATACATACCTTTCAATTTAATTGCTAAGGAACACATCGTAGCTATATAATTGACACTTTTTATAAGAAACAATAAGTGAAGTTGTGAACGTATTGTGTTTGAGGTTAAGTTGCAATCTCTACAGATTAACCTAACTTTCACTATACAGTGTTGCCACGTACCCGAATTAAAAAAAGAATGGTAGTTTAGTAGATTTTTTAGTAGATTGGTATTTTTTGTAGATTATTTAACTAAGTCTCGAAAGTCTCGAAAACTGGAGTTATGATTTTATTTATTTTTTAAGCATTTAAGTGCTAGATGTTTAAATCTAAAGAAAAGTTTACTAGAAAAAAAAATCCACGCGGACCAGGCAGCTGACGGGACTCGAACCCGCATCCTTCGCTATCCGGGCGAATGCACTGACCATTATGCTACCACGGCCCTATTAGCCGCGTCGAAATTTTCCTAGCCTTAAGCTGCAAGGCAGCGCTGACTGGAGTTATCTTGAGTCTCGAAAATACGAAAAAATCGTCGAGACTCGTAATTTTCGAGACCGAGACTCCCGGGATGAAAGCCCTAGCTATCTCTGACGCGGTTTGTTCAGCGCTAGAGTTACGTGCCGCGACCTGTAGCTAGTGGTATTGTGGATGCTGTACGCAGCTACTGAATGTGCAGTCTGCTTACAGCGTGCATAGACATAGAATAACAACTTTAATGTATCTCTTATCTATTAGACAAGTCCGACCGTCTGTCTGTGGTGCTGTTTCAGCGGCCAAACCGTAAGAGATAGATAAAGAGAATATTTAAGTTATAAGTTAAGAATAGTCTGATAAGACTACAGACCGGATTTGAGTAACGTAGCACTTCCGGTTTTCGAGAAATCAGGTTTTGGTGAACATTTGGTTCACTGGTTTGCTAGTATTTTATTAATACTCTGCAACTTTAACTAGAAAATGTAGGTACACTCAAACGTGATAATCATTTAAGTAGTAAACAGTCACGTCTCAGAAGGTCGTTATCATAATGCAACATTTGGCACGCTGACGTCATTGTCTCGCTCTTCTTATCGATGCCTTCACTGTATTATTATTAAATTTGCAACAATAACGAACAAAAAAATAAGGCGGTATATAGTTCTCACAACATAAACATTACTCTTATCACACTAACTAGTGGCCCGCCCTCGCTTCGCTTCGGAGTAGAATTGATCAAAATCCTTTCTTAGCGGATGCCTACGTCATAACATCTACCTGCATGACAAATTTCAGCCCGATCCGTCAAGTCGTATGGGCTGTGCGTTGATAGATCACTATGTCAGTCAGTCACCTTTGAGTTTTATATATATAGATATAAAGGCGAAAGTTTGTGAGTGTATGTGTTTGTTACTTCTTCGCTTCTAAACGGCTGGAGCGATTTTAATAAAATTTGGTATGGAGTTAGCTGACACGTAGGCTACGTTTTACTGCAGGAAAATATCCCTAATAACACCGTGGGTAACACCGCGGGACACAGCTACTAGTCTAATATATAAAATTCTCGTGTCGCGGTGTTTGTGGTTAAACTCCTCCGAAACGGCTCGACCGATTTTCGTGTAATTTTATATGCATATTCAGTAGGTCTGAGAATCGGACAACATCTATTTTTCTTACCCCTAAATGTTAAAGGTAATACACCGCTAATTTTTTTTTCAATTTTTTTTTTATTTTTTTTATAATACATCATACAAAAATAAATATAACCCAAAATTTTCGCCCTTCTACCACCATTCCCTATTTTTTTTATGGCGCTACGAAGTTCGCTGGCTCAGCTAGTAATTTATATAATTGTGATCGTCAGTCAATACAAAATTATTTATTCAGTTTAGGCTGTTACAAGCACTCATGAATGTCTAGAAGCTACGCCATCGGTTCGTCAATTTACGGCGGGAGACCTTGTATTGAGAAGAACCAGCAAGAAACTTAGCAAGGGCTATTTTATCCTCTCTGTATTTTCATTTTAAATATACGTTAAGTTCTCATAATCTTTAGAATTTGAAATTGAGAGACTTTAACACCCTACTGAAATTGTTATTATATACATAAACTAGTGGCCCTCGCTTCGCTTCGGAGTAGAATTGATCAAGATCCTTTCTTAGCGGATGCCTACGTCATAACATCTACCTGCATACCAAATGTCAGCCCGATCCGTCCAGTGGTTTGGGCTCTGCGTAGATAGATCACTATGTCAGTCACCTTTGAGTTTTATATATATAGATTGTTACAGTCAAAACCGAATATAACGACAACAGTGATGACGACGTGTCGGTTATTAAGACTAATTGGCAAGATCCTGATCGAAACACTATTAAAACCCTTAAGTAAACAAACCTCCTATAAAAACACCGGATATAGCGAAATACCGCTTAAATCGACTTATAGCCAAATGTATATTGATAACATGCACATCGATATTCATCATTCATTCATCTTTATATATATAATTCTTCTGTGAGTGTGTCTGTCACTGAACTTCTCTTAAACGACTGGACCGATTTTGATGAAATTTTTTGTGTGTGTTCAAGGGGATCTGAGAATGGTTTTGATTCACAATTTTGTCCGCTGGACAACCCCTATTTTTTTAGGGCGGTACTAAGTTCGCTGGGTCAGCTAGTATAATTATATAACAACCAACCGTTTTATTTGATCCAGCAAAACAAAATTAATACTGTAGGTACTTGAATTTCAATAGTAAATTTAGTACTTTTTCTTCGACATTTTATTTGAAAACAAGCGTATATTAATTATCTATAACCATACTACATACATTTTTTTTAAATTTTTATTTTAGTCTTGTAATTGCACACCCCCTCTTTAATTAAAATTCGTCTCTCCAT